CTATCCCCATCCTAACTCTAACCCTCACCTGGATGCACATAACCCTATTCCTAACTTAACTCTAACCCTCACCTGTATGCACATAACCCTATTCCCAACTTAACTCTAACCCTCACCTGTATGCACATAACTCTATCTCAACTTAACTCTAACCCTCACATGGATGCACATGACCATATCCCCATCCTAACTCTAACCCTCACCTGGATGCACATAACCCTATCTCCAACCCAACTCTAACCCTCACCTAGATGCACATAACCCTATCCCCAACCTAACTCTAATCCTCACCTAGATGCACATAACCCTATTCCCAACTTAACTCTACCCTCAACTGTATGCACATGACCCTGTCCCCAACTTAACTCTAATCCTCACCTGTATGCACATAACCTTATTCCAGCCTAACTCTAACCCTCAACTAGACGCACATAACCCTATCCCCAACCTAACTCTAACCCTCACCTAGATGCACATAACCCTATTCCCAACTTAACTGTAACCCTCACCTGGATGCACATGACCCTTTCCCCAACCCAACTCTAACCCTCACCTGGAAGCACATAACCCTATCCCCAGCCTTTACTCTAACCCTCACCTAGATGCACAAAACCCTATTCCCAACTTAACTCTAACCCTCACCTGTATGCATATTACCCTATCCCCAACCTAACTCTAACTCTCACTTGTATGCACTTAACCCTATTCCCAGCTTAACTCTAAACCTCACCTGTATGCAAATAACTGTGTTTTCAGCCTAACGCTAACCCTCGCCTGATATTTTAAATGGCACAAATCAACTATACCTTTGTGCGTTTACTTGAAATAATGGTATTAGCCATTAGTCTGCAATGAAATTTAAATTTCTAATGTTAAGACAAACTGTTAGTAGATCTTATCATTAAAGAATAATGGAATCCGATGGTAATGAAGAATCTGTGTATCCATCTGGTAATTGGTAATGATTGATTACAGTCGTGGAATACCAATATTCGTAAATTTCACCGCTGCCACAGACCACAAATGCAAAGTGCCCAAGGAACAATGATTAAACATTTGATGAAATAGGGTGGTATCACTAATCAAGGTTCGTATGTTCAAAACCACATGGACTGCTACGTCTAAAATAAATGAATTGACATAGTATCAAAATTACGTCGCTGTTGATACAAACTCAGAAACAACAAACAATAAGCTTTGTAGAGCACAAAGGCATATATATATATATATATATATATATATATATATATATATATATATATATATATATATATATATATATATATATATACCTACCTACCTACCTACCTACATACATACATACATAGTGTAATATGTACTCATGGCTTCTGAAAAATAAATTGTATTTTGCCTTTTTAAGAAAGCAGCAGGATGTTCTGGAATATGTACTCAGTTTTCGCTTGTAAATTTCCGGACAAGTTGCTACTGTCCTAGTGAAATTATGTTTGACTTGTTCTGATATTAGTTGCCTTATTACTTGCACTTTTATCGAAGATGTAAGAAAAACATCGAAAGTAATTAACCATACTTTAAGTCACGAAGCTCATCACAGCACTTGTGTTCGCAAGGCTTATCACATTATTTTAATTCTCGAAGCTCATTGCAATACTTGAATTTGCGAGCAGCGTAATTGAAGATGAATTTGAGGTTCTTAATTGCCCCAAACTATCACTAAACGTTTTACAAATAGACAGCAGCAGCTCAAATAAGAATTTTTAAATGACTGTTTACTCACTTTATCTTTCTTTTTTGCTTTAAATTTCTTGTCGCAATGTCACAAATTTGTATTACCAACAATCGGAATAACATAGGCGAAAAGTTCGGAGTTTAAGCCAAGTTTGAACATTTGTTTTATTTCTGTAAATTGTCTAGGATTCGGCGAATGTCGATATGTGAGAAAGCTTGCCAGTAGCTTCTCGTGAGTCGGTGGTTCTTTCCGGTGATTTCCAGGTTTCTTCCTCCACCATTATTACTGGCCGCCATGAATAGCCTATCGTGTGCTGAAAAATGGCGTTAAGCCCAACAACAATAACAACTGTAAATTGTTACCAAGGATAGTGATGATTGTCAAGTATATCTCACTTGGTAAATAAAATATATCGTTACCACCAACATTATAGTCTAATTTCTTTTCTAAGCATGGCTGCATTGTCTAAATGGTATAGTAATGATTTTATCTTGTAATTTTTCATTTATAAAAGTAATGCCTCAATCATCATTTAAAAAGGATACGATACTGTTTAATAGTTATTCTACGTTGAACTTGTGCAACCAGTCTGCTTATTACAACTTGTGCAACCAGTCTGCTAATTACAACTTGTGCAACCAGTCTGCTTATTACAACTTGTGAAACCAGTCTGCTTATTACAACTTGTGCAACCAGTCTGCTTATTACAACTTGTGCAACCAGTCTGCTTATTACCTGATATCTCTTCTGCAATAAAATCCACTGTTAGGTTGATATCATCCAGCAATATGTTAGACTTGTTTTTCATTATGGTTTTGTTTTAATTCGAATGATGCTGCATATGATCATAACCTTGAAGAAAAGAAACCTTAGTCATAAACGTATAGGATTCCAGTGAAATTATATTTCTTGTTTTTATCTTATAATTCTAGCCATTTTTATGATGCCATCAACCATGGTCTTTAACTATTCAGTTTCTATTGCTATCAAACTTAAACTGTCTGAAATAAATTGGGTTTGAAAGCATTTTTACCGTAAGTGGGTATTTTGCATTCAGAAAACAGTTTTCGTCTTTTGAAGTAAACATGAAATATGTTAAGAGATTCAACAAACAGAGCGACATTTTGATTTTAAATTCCAACCTAAAACACCAAACCATCAGTTAAAAGCCACAACGCCAAGTTTATCTGTCTGCCATAATTTAAAACAATGAATTATTTTAAGTATCTATTCACGTATTTATTCACTAAAACGTCGCTTTGCAAGTATACTTATAAACTTCATATAATAGTCTATATGTAGGACACTTTTTTCTTCTTTCTCAGTGTAATAAAATTTTATTTTTTAAATGAAGCTTATGTATTACGATTGCTAATATTGATAATATACTGTTTATATTTTTTTAATTAACATGGTATTAATTATTTAGGTCTTAATTAAAAAAAATGTGAAATTGAATTTTATTGCGCAAAATGACCGAGCCTCAATCACGATTATTAGCACACATACCTGTAGCACAACCATAGCATACAATGTATATTATTTTATTTCTGATATACCTTATTTTGATCCCAATAAAATAATGTAAAATTGACTTTTATTGTGCAAAAAGACCGACCCTCTATTGACACTTTTTCCACATTTAATTCTTTGTTGATATTTTTTCCTAATCTTTTCATTCCTCCACGTTTGATACAATTAATTATTCTCGTTGGTTTTAGGCAAATTTCCTTGTTGTTTCCTTTTCAGTTTTTCTCTGTTGTGTTTGTACCTTTTATAATTTTATCTGTTGAATGTTCCATTTATTACCGGAGTGTAATTTCAATAACTTCTAGATATCAAACGAAAATTCGGAATATTTTTTTTGTTATTATGTACTCAGAGTTAAAGTTGAAATGAATTTGTCCTTGATTGTTGTTGTATTCCTCCAATATCAACTAATTTTGATTAATTTTGTGCTTATGGTTCGGGAAAAAAATGTTTTAATGATTGCATATTGTGCAAAGTGCTGCTATACTTTCTTTGAATGAGATTTTAAAGTGATGCAAATGTCCTATGATTAAATAAATATGTATGCGAATTTCATTTTCTTTATTTTCTTTATTTTATTCTTGTACAGTCTTTTTAAGTTACATTTTTTTAAAAAATATTTTAAAAGATTTTGTTATGAATAAATTTATTGCTTTCGATTCTTTCTTACCTCAGATTTTGGGATCAAAAAAATCTCATCTAAGTTTTAGCACCCGCATTTCCTAAGGCTATCGAATTATAAACATCGTTATCTGTCAGAACTTAAAAGTTCTTTTCTCCGTGTTACTGTTTATCATGTATTAATCTTTCTTCATTTATTTCAATGATATAACGTTTTGCCTAGTTTTCAGCTTAAACTAACTATTTATTACATATAATCTTTTGCGTAAGGACCTGTTTTATATCGTTCATACCATGTTTTATTTTTTTCAAATTTTCTCTACCGTAATTGTTATCTGTTTGCTCATCAAACATTCCTTTTCATATCCTCTCCGTTCATTTTGCTCATGCTGGTAAACACTTCGATCGCCTAAAATCACTTGCATGATATTGTATATGTTACAGATAAAGATAGGAAGATATCAATATCAAAGACTGTTTTGCCTTGTAGATTTCTATGATTTTATATTCATTTAGTCTAAACGTGTCTCTTGAACGGACTGCAACGCATAATTTCCTCGACTTTAATCTGTATTTGCTTCAGGCGGGATGAGCGTTATTGTATCCCCAAATTAGGTGAGGGAAACGTGAACACGTTTTGGGACTTCTTTTTGTGTTAAATCCTTTTAATATACTAGTCTTTATGTTTCTAAAAAAATAGTATCATTATGCTTTGTATCAGTAAGTTGACAAATATACTGCACAAGTTCTAAACTGTTATCTTCATCTCTTTTCCGTCATCAAACTACGTATGTTCATGTATCATCCCTTTAAATATTTCCTTAAAGCATACATTACATCATGTATATTTTCATTTTCAGGTTATCAGTATAAGGGTGGAGAAAATACAAATCACCGTCAATGTGTATTTCATCCATTGTAATTTTCAAATGCTGGCATGAGAACAATATTTTACTTCTACTGGTAATCAGTATGATTAAACTAGATACTTCTATACGGAAAATTGATATTTTTAGTAAGAGATGGATAGATTATTCGGTTGATTATTCTTTTAACTCAGTGTATTTAAATTTGTCAAGTACAATTTATTCTTTCAATTGACAGTTATTTTTGCAAGTAACGAGATTTTCAAAATCATAACATTCCGGTTGCCTAGTGGTTATTGCATCCGCCTCCAATGCGGGAGGTCGTGGGTTCAAACCCTAGCCGAATTATACCAAAGACTTATGAAAATGGTACTAATAGCTGCCTCGCTAGGCGCTCAGCATTAAGAGGATAGTGTTAGGACTGGTGGGAGAATAATGTGGATGAGACGCCATGATACATGTCTCAGGCACGATGCTTCAGTTTAAGACATTACTATAAACTGCCACACTGCATACATATTAGTGATATGACTGCAAAATTGTTAAAGCTAAGTTAAAAATCCAAATCACACACACACACACACACACACACGTAATCATATAAAATATGTTCTAAATAATGCTCTTCGTCGGTCACTCTGAAGTAAGACTAAACCCCGTGAGTGCCCTGATATTGATGCAATATCTGTACTTGTGATCAGAAATACAACACAATGATCACCTACCGCAATTTTTGTATTCTCATTTCTTTGCGCCATTTATTTAGTTCTTTAAAACTATGAATGATTTAAAAATTGAAAACACACCTGTGTCATATAATGAATCTTCAGAGTATAAACAAGTCTCGTATATGCTACAAAAATATAGGCACCGGTTCAAATCGCCATCTATCTACTCTCAATTTGTGTGTGTGTGTATATATATATATATATATACATATATAAATATATATATACATATATATATATATATATATATATATATATATATATACATATATATATACATATATATACATATATATATATATATATACATATATATACATATATATATATATATATATATATATATATATATATATAAATATATATAAATATATATATATATATATATATATATATATATATATATATATATATATATATATATATATATTAATTGTTTAAAGTTTTGATTTATGATTGTAGATTGTAAAAGGTCAATTTTTTTATAAAACACATTGCATAGCTTAAGGAAAGTGGGTTGAACTTTTAATATGAGTAAATATGTTTATGAGGCATTTTTCACCTTCGAAGATGTAGAATTAATAACGTATTGACGAATTTGATAGGATCTGAGTTCAGGTTATTGTTGGTGGTTTTTTTTACCAATTCTGGCCCACCAGTTTTCTGATTGGTTAGCTGTTGACATATTGAAATGCTCTGCAAATGAACATATTACTGTCATCCTGGTTCTGATTAGCTTTTTATATAAGATAGTAACATAATCTGTATTTATATTTTGAACATCCGTAGTGGGGATAATCATTTAGACGCGATTTATTTATTTCAATTATTCAATTTGTTGCCACCTGTTGTTAAATACTAATACTACTATTCACACTGAAGACAGACTTCGAACTTAGTCAGAATCATTTTGAAGTCCTAAATTTAAGTAAAAGAATTGTTTGGCTGTATTCCGTTATCAATAAAAAATGCTGAGCGGCAGATAAATTTGAAAGCCGCCATGCAGGTTGGATGTGCAGTTTTCAACTGTCTGTACAACATAAAAGGGTGTTGTTGGTGTAAGGTTTAACGTCATGTTGCAGCACAAGATAGGCTATACATGGTAGCCAGTATAAATTGTGGAGGACGAACCGGAGCAACCCTGGGGAAAAAAATCACCGAACCAAGAGAAGCAACTGGCAAGCTTTATGTCATAAATACATTTGCCGAATCAGAGACTCGAATCCATTCAGATAGAGGTGAGACGGCAATAATCCATAACGGTGACCGCTTTAGACCACTCAGCAACACCAAAAGGTGAATGCAAAACTGACATATAGAGGTTGTTATATGTATTTATATTTTTGGTAACTCTTGGTACACGATTTTTTAAAAAAAATAAGTTTTAAACATGGTAGTCAATAGTAAAGTTAAATTTTGCCTACATGACCTGAATCTTTTAAATGCTTAGTGCTTAGTGCTTCATAGGATCTATAAATAGATGCTTACGTAAAAATACTATTACTAATAAGACTTAAATTGCGCTTTTCGCTTATCTTTTCAGTGACTGATGGGGTTTCGACGTTTCTAGTTAATTCTATAACTTCACATTGGTCGGGGAAGGTCACATGAATAGGCCAAATCAACGCATAATGAGTAGTGTATCCTCTCCCGTGGAGTCTATTGCGAAATACAGTCGCAATATAATGTGTATATAGAGAGTGAATGTAGCAATCAGATTCATTCCGAGTCATTCACACTTATCGTGTTTCTGTTGTAAGTCTGTAGACGTGTTTTATGTTGTACTTAGATATTATTCGAGAGGAAAAACATTTATTTGGACTGTTCAGTGGAAATAGAAAGTGCTCATTACTTGGACTAAGATATTATTCTGAAACTGTTATAAAGGAATTCGGTACAAACGCCATCTTGATAACGTCATCTTTCTTGGACCTGATCGTTTCCGGTTTTCAAATTTATAAGGAACTTTTCATTCAATTAGACAATTTAAAAAAAAATTAATTCACTTCTTTATACTGCAAGTTCATTTCACATTGTCATTTATAACTTTGATAATTAAATTGTTAAGTTTTACACAACTGGTTCGTTCCTCTTTTTCTTTTCTTCAGTTTCGTACCATAGAGTTGTAATAAGGTTCATGGAAAGTATTGTTGCAAGCCAGGGGTCTTTTGCTTGAACGAGCGGTGTCAAAACCCTGGCGCGAACCACGCAAGAAGTCCTACGTTTAACCCATATTTACAAAGACTTCTATACAACTTCAGTTGTAAGTTGGAAAGCCCGACGTGTCTATTCTATATATAAATATTATTCTAATCAATGTAAGACCATATTATTTACAACTTGCCAAATAACCATCAACCGCACATCCGCTTAGTTTCTCTACATTAAATTTCCGTTCCTCCAGTAGTTCACACCGTAGAAACTCTACAACTATCCCTAACATAGGGGACTATTTTAACTGAGCCACCTAAGGCCAGTCCATCTACCGTTTCAAGGAACATCACATCAGTAAGACTACGTCACATTTGCCACCATAAACGGTATCTTCCGAGTCCTTTCTCATTTATTCCATTGTAATTTACCGGTTTGCTACCATAAATACTGCCGCTGCAGTCACAACACCGATGTACACCACTAGGTTTTATAAAGTGCTACATCACGACAGGGACAGTTATGCGGATTGGGTCTGAGTTCGCTACTCATTGACCGTGGCATCTTACAAACTCACTAACACTTTCTCTCCGTGATTTTTGCTCCTAGTAATAGGCTAATTATTTCGAGCTAAGGAATATTTCCCATTGCACCGAATTCCAATAATCAAACAAGTAATCACACAAACTTAAGAATTGCTTAAACGGGGAGCTACAACCAAATGCGCATCTTATTAATTTTTTTACTGTATTTTTAAATTTTCACTGACAAGCTGTTTACTAATAAATAATTTGTTTAGAAATCCCTCATATTTAACTATTTTCTTCTTTCCCAAGATTGGACGATATTAAATCAACACATTCCAGAATAGAGAAAATGAAAGAGAACGATCAAGTATCAAATATTGAACGATTTGAAGACAATTTACACCATAACAGTATTTTCAGACAAGATGAAGTCTTGGAAATCCAAATTAGTAACAAGATCGTGGCTTGTATGGATACTGTCAAATTCTAGATACCAATCAGTTATTTTAAAGCAGATCATGATGCATGGTTTGTGATGGTTGTATAAATAACCAGTAGTTCAAGAGTTTACTATGACTGGTCATTTATGTGCTTTATCAAAATCTTAGCTTAACACAAAATCTTCTACAAGTATATATAAACTAGTGTCAAGACACGAGTTCAAGACCTCAACCAACATATAAGATTTCCTAGAACTCCGTATAAACTAGCATCATAAGAAAATATTTGTATACTTATATCATCTGATATCTACAACCTTACCAAGGACCTGAAGGTTTAGAACATATTCCTTTTTTGTATCTGATTTGCATTATTGCTTACATAACTTCATGCTATCGGATTGATTAGAGTCTGGGTAGATGCTTGTATTGTTTTAGATTAGTTTGTGATGTGAGGTATGTTGTCAAAATTAAATTATGAATAATTTGCATTATAAAGACATATCCCATTCTGTTTCATCCTGTCAAACCCTATTATCGACACACAAAGGCAAGCTTATGAACATGCTCATGAACACAGGACCTAATACAAGAACTTTGAACGTATTTCCTATTTAATGAAATTGTTTGCTTTGCTTTTACTAAACGGATGCAACCAACTACAGATTTATTTTATATATTTGTAGTATAGATATAAAATCCACCAAGGAAAGGGTTTATTAGATTTCCTAATCAGATGTTTTAATACAAATGAAGCCAGAGTTAGGATAAGTCGTTTCAAATTTTGGTTCTTAAATGTCGTATGATGCTTTATTTCCTTGTTCTAATTTTTTGTTAAGTTTGTATTGTGCGCTAGACCTGTTGTTTTGATGCATTTTGCATATTTTTGCAAACCCCACAATGTCAATGTCCCTATTATATATAACTGGTGACGGTTCGTGGAGTTTTGTCATTTCAATCGTCAGCACAAATTATAGCACAACCATATTCCAAATTCTAAACTTTAGTACTTTTTAGTACATCCTCACAAACAACAGTTTCCCTTTAGTGTAATATTATTGAAGATGGTATATTTTTGGTGTGGTATCTAATTTATACATTTAAGTTTTCTATAAATAGTTGTCACAGATTATTTAACATATTATGATATGCAAATAGTAGGGACCGGTACAATACTTCACTATGTAAGTGTGTAAGTTAAGAATTTTTAATTTTAAAATAAAACCATGCCGTTTAATATAGATAAGTGACAGATAGAGCTATTTTCTAAAATGATCAATATATTTGTCTTCGGCAGCAAGACTAAAGTAGGTATTTCTGGCATCACTCAAAACTTGATGACTGATATCGAATCTATAGTTGTTTATTTTTGTTTTCTCTGACGAATCTGAATGTTTATTCAGAAACTTTATTGTGCTTGCCAAACCTCTTGGATGGTAATCTTTATTATGTTTGTCTTTGATGAAAATTGATAGGTATCAGGGAATTGTAAACAAAGTCAC